TAAAAAGTTACAAAAAGTCGAGGACCGGTGGATACAATCTCAATAGTGACAGCATATTCATAAAAAGCGCCCCCCAAAACTTGAGAGAAGACCCTGATATCGATTTAATCTAAAAAGTTACAAAAAGTCATGACCCGAGGGGACCCAATCTCAAAAGCGACAGCATTATCATAAAAAACGCCCCCTAAAACATAATAGTCGATTCTAATATCGTTTTAATCCGAAAATTTACAAAAAGTCGAGGACCGGTGGGCTCAATCTCAAAAGTGACAGCATTTTCATAAACAGCGCCCCCTAAAACATAATAGTCGACTCTGATATCGTTTTAATCTTAAAAGTCGAGGACAGAGGGGGAGGGGGGGGCAATATCAAATTCGACATAATTTTCATAAAAAGCGCTCCCCAATACATAATAGTCGACCCTGTCATGATTTAATCTTAAAATTAACAAAAAGTCGAGAACCGGGGGGGGGGCAATCTCAAAAGCAACAGCATTTTCATAAAAAGCGCCCCTCAAAACATAATAGTCGACTCTGATATCGTTTTAATCTTAAAAGTTACAAAAAGTAGAGGCCTGGGGGGTCTAATCTCAAAAACGACAGCGTTTTCATAAAAAGCGCCCCCCCCCCAAAAAAACATAATAGTCTACCCTAATAAAAAAGTTATTAAAAGTCGGTGCCCTGCGGAACTACCTAAAATCCGACATTATTTTCATTAAAAACGCCCCACAAAACATAATAGTCGACCATGATATCGATTTAATCTAAAAAGTTACAAAAAGTCGAGAACCGGGGGGGGGGGGCAATTTCAAAAGGGACCGCATTTTAATAAAAAGCGCCCCCCAAAATATAATAGTCGACTCTGATATCGTTTTAATCTTAAACATTACAAAAAGTCGAAACCGGGGGAGCGCAATCTCAAATTCGACATAATTTTCATAAAAAGCGTTCCCGAAAACATAATAGTCGACCCTGCCATGATTTAACCTTAAAAGTTACAAAAAGTCGAGGCCCGGTGGGGCCAATCACAAAAGCGACAGCATATTCATAAAAAGTGCCTCTCAAAACTTAATAGTTGACCCTGATATCGATTTAATCTAAAAAGTTACAAAAAGTCGAGGTCTGGGATATTCAATCTCAAATTCGAAATCATTTTCGTAAAAAGCGCCCCCTAAAACATAATAGCTATCGATTTAATCCGAAAAGTTACAAAAAGTTGAAACCCGGGGAGTTCAATCTCAAATTCGACATAATATTCATAAAAAGCGCTCCCCAATACATAATAGTCGACCCTGCCATGATTTAATCTTAAAATTTACAAAAAGTCGAGGCCCGGGGGACCCAATCTCAAAACCGACATCATTTTCGTAAAAAGCGCCCTCCAATACATAATAGTCGACTCAAATATCGATTTAATCCAAAAAGTCGAGGCCCGGAGGGGGAGGGCCAATATCAAATTCGACATAATTTCCGTAAAAAGCACCCCCAAAACATAATAGTCGACCCTGATATCGATCAAATCCGAAAAGTTAGAAAAAGTCAAGGCCCGGGGGGCGCAATCTCAAATTCGAAAGTATTTTTATAAAAAGTATCCCCTAAAACTTAATAGTCGACCCTGATATCGATTAAATCCGAAAGGTGAAAAAAAATAGATTATATAAAATAAACACTTTTTTATTTTTTAAATTACTCATGGCGTAAAAATGTTTCAGGAGTGATTTACTCATGGAGGAAAAATGTTTCATAAGTAATTTTCAAATTTACTCATGGGTAAGCTTCTAAGATTGATCACTCGTGACGTCACCGCTGGACATTTACTCGAGTAATCAGTAATCAGCCCAACACTGACTTTAAGTAAGTCACGTTTTTTGTTGAATATGAAGTGATATCTAAACAAATATTTAATTTAATACAATAAAAATTGCTTTATTGTAAACTAAATAAAATTTACTTCAAACAAAAGTAGAGTTTGTCATTGTTAAAATCATTTAAAGAGGACTTTTGAGCAGCTAGCTAAGCTAAGTTCTGTTTTTAAAAAATCTGGCAACACACAACTTTCACTTACCGCTCTACTTTGAATACAAATTACTTTCTTGCAATGCTGAGCTATTATAAAATTTTTTGAAGTGCATTTTAAACGGAGCTAAAGCTTAAAGCTTACAGTACAGTACAGATAACAAGTTATTAAGACCATTATAATTACAAAATGTCTATTTAATATATCGACGGTAGGTAATAAAAATCTAGTCACTCTATCTGCTTTTATAAACCACACAACTTTCTTTGCTTTTATAAACCACAGAATGACGAACTCCAATTTCAACTTCCAATTTTTGAGCAATGTCATTTTAGAGATATTTTTAGTTGAAAAAGTTATCTATGCAGACAGTGAGTAAGTTGATTCCGGAGGTAGTGATTGCAGTGTTGAAATAATTTAGGTACTTATTTCTTATGAAAGATGTTCTTAGGAAAGATACTTTATAAAATATCTGTAGAAAAAAGATTTTTTTGGTCTCAACAATTAAAAAAGTATATTTTAAATTTATCCAAATGTTCGCCTCTTCAGCGAAAAAAAATTGAGACCATATATTTCCTCCTAATTGTCCGATTTTAACGATTTTTTTTTTTGTTTTTAGGAAATTTAAAAACTTTTGAAACACCTCATCACAATATCGACAAAAAAGTGTTACTTTTTGAGTTATTCGGAATTTAATTTTACCATCCCTCGTAACTTTTTTTCCAACTTCTTTTCGTTGAAGTATGTTATATAGATAAATTTAAAGGGTGTCGAGAAAATGATTTTAGCGAAGTTTCCTTGAAATCTGTACATTCGTTTAGGCGCTATAGTCTATAGCAACGCAGGTTTTTCTGCATTTTTTTTTTCTCCTTTATTAACTTATCAAATTCTTTCAAAAGTTATATGTATCATTTTTTCGTAACTCTGAATAATGCGAAATGATTAACTTAATAGCGAAATGAGCTAGACTGTTAACACACACACAGACCATTTTGTGACACTTGGTTATTTGGACTCAGGGGACCTCAAAAAATGTATTTCCGTTGAAAACTGAGATTCAAAAATTTTCACAATCGCAATACTTACCCTTACTATACATTACATATATACGTAAGTTAAAGTAAAAAATCATAAACTAATCGCGATTTTGTTTTATCATCATCCAACTTTACAGATACCCCACTTTTAGAAAAAAGGTCCTCATTTAATAAGCTTTAAATCCATATTAATTTAGTTGAGGTTTATTAGGAAAAAACTTGAGATTCGCCTCAATTTGTGTAGAAAAATGATGTGTTTTTTTTAAATTTTAACTTGCTGAAAATACTGGTACTTTTAGGTGATTGGTTAAAAAATCACATCATTTTTTTACACAACTCAAGGTGAATATCAAGTTTTACCTAATAAATTTCAACTTAATTAATATGGATTTAAAGCTTATTAAGAAGCTTTTAGGAAGTTTCACTAAAAGTGGGGTATCTGTAGTATAGTTGGATGATGATAAATAAAATCGCTAATAATTTATGATTTTTTAAAAACAGAACTTAGCTTAGTTAAACCACTCAAAAGTCCTTTTTAAATGGTTTGAACAATGACAGACTCTACTTTTATTTGAAGTAAATTTTATCTAGTTTACAATGAAACAATTTTTAATAACTTAAGTTGAATATTTCTTTTGCTATCACTTCATATTCAAGAAAAAACGTGACTTACTTAAAACAACACAAATCTTAGATTTCCTACTTTTCTGTTGAAAATTGGCCCATTGTTCATATGAACTTTTTTGTAGCTATTCAGGCCTGTTATCACTCCTATAAAAATTTCCCTCTACTTACGCGGCACCCAGTATTTATGTACAAATATATTTTTTCAAAAATGAAGTTTCATTTACCTGTATAGAAAGGTAAACAGATGCAAGAGCCATTATCCTGACATTTTCCGTTGTTTTTACATCTGCATTCTGGAATACCACACTGAAAAACAAAATTTCTTACCTAATAAAGTTGCATAAATTTTCTCCAAAATGAATTATAATAGAATATTTTTCACATTATTTATTACATAGTTAAACCTTTATAATATTTTTTTTAATTTATCAGTAAGTGTTTTGAACTTTATTGCACAGGACTGTTAATTCCGATTTATGCTAATTTAAATCAAACAAAGGAACATTAGACCTGATCTTTAAAGGCAATTTTTCAAAAATCTATGACAAATACTTCATAATCTCTCATCCCAGTATATTCCAGAAAATAAATTGGAGACAAGTCAATTTAACTAATAATGGACAATATTGTAATAATTAAGAGAAGAATAGTTGGGGTGATCAGCCAAATAAGAAGGCAAAAATAAATGATAATATTTATTTTGACATTTGCCGATGTTTCGACCTGAAGTTCAGACCTTCATCAAGGCTAAGAAAAGAACCAGATAATAAGGTATGAGAAACAAAAGTAGTGTACGTAAAAAATAAAAGTAAAATGCAGTTGTTAGAATAATGAATATAGTATTCTAACAACTGCATTTGCTTTTATTTTTTACCTACACTACTTTAGTTTCTCATACCTTATTATCTGGTTCTTTTCTTAGCCCTGATGAAGGCCTGAACTTCAGGTCGAAACGTCGGCAAATTTCAAAATAAATATTATCATTTATTTTTGCCTTCTTATTTGAACTGATCACCCCAACTATTCTTCTCTTCATTATTCATGACAGTCAACCATTTACCCACAATTATTGTAATAATTGTAAGAAATGACAAAAAGGTCATAATGATGAATTCATTTAATGAAATAAAATAAGGGTTTAATTCTTAGAAAATGAATTATGGAAAAAGTATCATAGTAAAGTTAATAAATGCTTAGAAAAATAAGCTAGGATTGTTAAAAAATTATTAAATTTGATACTCTTGATCAATTCATATTATTTTACTTTATTCTTATTTTCTGAATAATAATTAATTTGATTAAAAAGATAATAAACAAAAATTAATTTACCTTATCACCATGGGGGCACAAGCACGTGATGTTCTTAGGCCCAAGGAGACAGAGTGCTCTCCTCTGGCAGTGACAGTGCACAGAAATATGTGGCTGCTTTTGCTCTTGAACAATATGCAGAGCAATTGGGCGGTCAACTGTCTTATCTACTATGACTGTCTCATTGTTCCACCTATCAATGCGAACAATTTTATTCTTGATATACATTGATATATACAGATATTCTTCAAATATATCCAATTTGTGAGGTTTCCAGTTGTGCTCCCCTGAAAAATAAATTAAAATTACAAAAATAAGTCGTTACTCAACCTTCTGCTAGATGAGATGCCAAACCTAACAGCAACAGATAAGATATAACAAATTTATATACTTTACAATCTCACATTCTAAGCTGGTCTATATTATATTGTTGCCCAACTTATTTAAACAACTTACCAATCAGCTGTATTTATATAGATTTTATAATAATAATTATTATATCTATTTACACTTAATTTTATGCATTACAAGTCAGAATAATAAAAATCAAAATTAGCTTCTGATAATTATTTATTGTACGTTTCGGGAATTCTGTGTCCTCCTCCTCACCAATCTAAAAAAGTTATATACTGATATATTTTAGGTTCATTGTAAAAACCAGTTATAACTACAATAAATAAAATATACAACACATAAAACAATTTTCAAATAAATATAAATTATTTTACAAAATTTGTTAAAAATATAAATTACTTACATTTTATTCTCCCAAAAAATATTGGGTAAGTCAATATAATTTAATAAGTTTGGTGCAATGTTTGATATGCAACTAAAAGGATTATGGTAATAAATAGGATAGTTAGTAGGGGGGAGGGGGGTTATGATCTTAAATGTTATTTTATGGTTTGATTCTAATAGTCATGAATGAATTTTAAATCTTCTTTTTTATTCAATGTTTGATCTATATGTTTTTTATAAATACATTTTATTTTATTTTTATTGTAATTTTTCTTTTCCAAGTAATTTTACACTGATAAAATTAACCTTATGTTTGCAGTTACCCTCTATTATATGTGCACTTATGTTTCCTGTGCATAGTTATATGCTTTCAAATATAACTCTGTAAAGTTAAAGATGGACTGGAGATGGATTCTGTTTTATCAGTGGAAATAAGCAACATATTCACACATATACCCTCATAAAATTAACCTCATATTTGTGGTTACCCTCTACTATATGTGCATTTAAAACAGTGTGATTTCCATTGTGTTTTTTGGAGTTTTTGCGTTGATATATTCTTTTCTTTTTTTTAATTTTGCATTGATTCTCCTATATATATATATATATATATATATATATATATATATATATATATATATATAGGAGAATCAATAATCTATCACAATGAAATAATCAACAAAATAAAAACATTCTTTAAAAAAAAAACAATTACCACAAGATATAATAGATAAACAAATTAAAAAAGTAAAATTAAAAATTAAAAACCTAACTTATTTAAATAACAATAAATTAGAATTTGATAAAAGTATCATCAACTTTTGTAAGTCACTATTTCTAAATACTACAAAAAACAATAAAAAAAGAAAGAGACAAGATAGTGATGAAGGAAACAACATAAAAAAACAAAAAATACCTATATCTAATGTTAATCTAAAAACAAACTACAGAAAGAGAAAGCAGGATACTCCAGAACAATTAGATAAAAATGATGCAATTAGATATTAAACATTTCTTTAATAAAAATAATCATAGTACACATAATAATATATTAAATTCCCATATATTCTACAAAAATGAACTACAAACTTGTAGGAAAAACAGATAACCTTATCTATTTTAGCTTCCAGCACCATCCCCAAATTGCAGATTGTTTTAGTAAATTAAAAAGTAACAATTACAAAATTACTTGGAAATACCAAAACATAATATCACACTATTTCAGTAGAAAAAGGACAAAATTCACATAATGGATACCAAAAACAACATTTATCAACTACAATGTTCATGTAAAAAGATATATATATATATATATATATATATATAATATATATATATATATATATATATATATATATATATATATATATAGTTTTTGCGTTGATATATTCTTTTATTTTTTTTAATTTTGCATTGATTCTCCTATATATATATATATATATATATATATATATATATATATATATATAATATATATATATATATATATATATATATATATATATATAGGAGAATCAATGCAAAATTAAAAAAAAATAAAAGAATATATCAACGCAAAAACTATATATATATATATATATATATATATATATATATATATATGTCTTTTTACATGAACATTGTAGTTGATAAATGTTGTTTTTGGTATCCATTATGTGAATTTTGTCCTTTTTCTACTGAAATAGTGTGATATTATGTTTTGGTATTTCCAAGTAATTTTGTAATTGTTACTTTTTAATTTACTAAAACAATCTGCAATTTGGGGATGGTGCTGGAAGCTAAAATAGATAAGGTTATCTGTTTTTCCTACAAGTTTGTAGTTCATTTTTGTAGAATATATGGGAATTTAATATATTATTATGTGTACTATGATTATTTTTATTAAAGAAATGTTTAATATCTAATTGCATCATTTTTATCTAATTGTTCTGGAGTATCCTGCTTTCTCTTTCTGTAGTTTGTTTTTAGATTAACATTAGATATAGATATTTTTTGTTTTTTTATGTTGTTTCCTTCATCACTATCTTGTCTCTTTCTTTTTTTATTGTTTTTTGTAGTATTTAGAAATAGTGACTTACAAAAGTTGATGATACTTTTATCAAATTCTAATTTATTGTTATTTAAATAAGTTAGGTTTTTAATTTTTAATTTTACTTTTTTAATTTGTTTATCTATTATATCTTGTGGTAATTGTTTTTTTTTTAAAGAATGTTTTTATTTTGTTGATTATTTCATTGTGATAGATTATTGATGTTCTACTTAATGCATATGTGGTCTGGTTACATATCAATTTTTTTTTTTAAATATAGTGGATGGTTTGAAAAGAAATTTATAAGTCTGCCTGAATACTGTGTCTTTGTATATCATTTAAATTCTATTTTAATATTTATGTTTATTAGCTCTGTATCTAAATATGGTAAAACTCCATATATTTTTATTTCATTGGTAAACATCATAGCTTTATTTAAGTTAATCATTAATTTGCCTATGTTACTATGGTGTGCACAAAATATTATGTCGTCTATATATTTATAAATAAATAGAATATGTACATTTGTATCTTTTATTATATCATCAAGTAAATTGTTCATGAATATGTTGCTTATTTCTAGTGATAAAACAGAACCCATCTTGAGTCCATCTTTAACTTTCCAGTAGTATATTTGGAAGTATATACCTATGCTCAGGAAACAAAAGTGCACATTTAATAAAGGGTAACCACAAACATGAGGTTAATTTCACCAGTGTAAAAATACTTGGAAAAGAAAAGAAAATTTATTTATAAAAAAACAAAGAACAAACATTGAATAAACAAGATTTGAAATTCATTCATTGGAATCAAACCATAAAATAATATTTGAGATCCTAACCCCCCACCTCCTCCCCGCCTACCAACTAACCTATTTATTACCATAATCCTTTTAGTTGCATATCAAACATTGAGCCAAACTTATTACATTATGTTGACTTACGCAATATTTGTTGGAAGAATAAAATGTAAGTAATTTATATTTTTAACAAATTTTGTAAAATAATTCATATTTATTTGAAAATTGTTTCATGTGTTCTATATTTTATTTATTGTAGTTATGACAGGTTTTTACATTGAACCTAAAATATATTGCTATATAATTTTTTTAGATTGCTGAGGAGGAGGACACATATTCCCCAAAACGTACAATAAATAATTATCAGAAGTTAATTTTGATTTTTATTATTCTGACTTGTGAGGCATAAACTTAAGTGTAAATAGAAATTATAATATAAAGGTCAAACATTTTAAACACTATGGAAAAATAATAATATCTATAGAATAATATAATATAATATACCCCATGAGGAGTTGCTAGTCTCCCATCGGGCACCTCCCCTGTTGGTGGATTGAGGAATACTCACCGGATATAGTGGGTGCCAGGGAAATAAAATACCCGGGGTGGATCAAAACTAGCTAAATCCAGGTGCGACAGTTCTCAAATTGGATGCAACCTGGTCAGCTTCTGTTCCCCGTGTCAGGGGCGGTTGCTTACACATTACCTGGCAGGAAGGTATAAAATGCTATCCCCCATAATCAATATGGAGTCCAATAATATGATTAATAATGCTTCAAAAAGACAAATGAAAAAGATAGACAAAATTGTGGTACTCCATCTTGGCACTGTAATAGTTGAAAATGAATTTACAGAAACCTTTAAACTTTATGCAGACAAACTTAAACAAAATTTAGCTGTTTATGCAAATAGAGTGCAAAGATATACAATAGCAGCTCTTCGAAGAGAGAACAAGACATTTGATGCAGATCAAGGTTAGTTTTATAAAAAAATAAAAGGGGAAAAACATAAGTGATTTTGGAATTACCTTCGACAATGAGTATGGAATCGTTTTGGAAAAAAATATGGGAGCAGTATATCATCATGAAAATTCGACTTGGCTGGGTGAGATGAAGCATGGACTAGAAGGAACACCTTTGAAGCAGCCATTAATCTTTACAAAGGAAGATGTAATGTTAACCACCAAGAAGATGCATGCACAACTGGGAATGAAAATATACAAGCCTACTGGATGAAACATTTTATCAGTCTCCACCGGAAATTAGCAGAACTCTTTCAATCTATAATCAAAGATTCAGATAAAGTACTCAAAGAGTTTATAGCGGGAATAACTTCCATAATACCAAAAGAGGAAGGACTCAATCTAGAACCTAAGAACTTCAGGCCTATCACTTGCCTGAACACAACATATAAGCTACTCATATCCATTATCATTATTGCTATAAAAATAAATAATTATTTCATGGATAATCAACTATTACCACCAGAGCTATTGGGATGTAGCAAAGGAGCTGGCTGCAAGGAACTATTAGTGATAGATACATTTATTGACTATAAAATAGCATTTGATACTGTACCACTCAGTTGGCTGATTGAAGTTCTAGAATTATATAAAATCCACTCAGGCATAATAAACCTCCTTAGAAAACTTATGACATTATGGAGCACTAGAATGATAGTGGGAAGAGGATAGCAGGTATGGAGCTTCTTTTTATCCTCTG